CTTGTGTGTCCGCCATGTGCATTTCTGACTGTCGTGCAACTTTGGTACATGCAATGGATGAGGCGGTTGATGAAGGCCATAGGCACTTGAGCCCACACTCTGAGGAATGCCTGACACAGTTCAGCTGCAGTTGTCGGCCTTGGTCAGACGTCATTCAGCCATCTTTGAATCTCGTCCCACAGGTGCTCAATGGGATTTAAATCGGGACTGAGGGCAGGCCACTGCATGGTTCTGATTTCTCTTGTTGCTCTCACAGTGTGGGCACGGGCGTTATCATACTGAAACACATGGTTGTGGCGAGGTGCCAAATGTAGTATGGCGTGAGGTCTCAAGACTTGATCAATGTACCCAGCTGCTGTGACACCATTGCCTCTCCCTGGACTGATGTTCTGGAAGACCACAACGCCGACCCTCTGTGCAAGACCAATTCCACACCATGATGCTCTGACTACCCCACGAGTCTCTCTCAACAACACAAGATTTACGGACGACTGTGATATAGCTGAATATAGCTGGTACTTTTCCGGATGAGTGGTTAGAAAGCATTATACTTATCCTCCATAAGAAGGAAATTAAAGTGTCCATGATGTAAGTAACTATCTGGGTATCACGCTTACGGATATTTGTTGCAAGATTTTTACACAGGTTTTAAATAACAGGTTGAAACAGTTCGTGGAGTTATATGATAAGCTTCCAGGATGCCAGGCGGGTTTTCTGGATGCCAGGCGGGTTTTCTGGAAGGGCTGTTCTACAATAGACAGTATGATTATACTTTAATCTCTAGTTCAGAAATATTTATCGAAATCAAAGGGAAAATTTTACTGCATGTTTGTAGATTTCCAAAAGTTGTACGATTGAATAGGGATCTGCATTGGTTTGTTCTTCACTCGAACGGAATTCGTGGGGAAATATGTTCTATTATAAAAGATATTTATTCTAAAACATTATCTTTGGTTTAAATTTCAAAGAACAGTATATCAAATTATTTCATTTGTTTCAGTGGAGTTTGACGAGGCTGTATTTTAAGTCCTCTTTTATTTCATAAGTTGGAGAATGAAATCCAACAGTTTGGAGGTAGAGGAATCTTTGTTCATCAGGATTTAATGGAACTATTTTTTTTTTCAAATACGGTCCCCGAACTATAGAGGAAAATAGATGTCTTGCAAACATTTTGTAATGTATGGGTTTAAAAGTTAATCTCGACAAAAATTAAGTTTTATTATTTTGAAAACAGAGGCAAGTTAAGAAATTATGATGAATTATGTCAGTGTTTCTACATAGTATAGATATTTAGGAATTATTTTTTCCAAACAGATTGTGTTGATCAAAAGCTTTTCTGACATTAGCTTCCAAAGCTAGTAAAGCTCTGGTTCCTATAAAACAGCTTAGTTATAAAATGCAAAATATTTCTCCAAAGGAATACTCTCTTCTCACGCGACCCGCTAAAAGAAATTCAAAACGAGGCTCCGTATACACTTGCAGGAATGGCGCAACACTGCTGTGCACCACGCTGCGGGGATGATGGCCGTTAAGACAAAACGCTGTCCTTCCACCGCATTAAAAAAATTGAAGAAGTTCGGAAACAGTGGATTGTCAACAGCCGTAGGTAGTGATGAGAGACCATTTTTCAAGGCATGTTTGCGTATATAATTTTCATGAAATCACATGAAAATAGTTTGTTTGTTGTTGTTTCATGCCGCACAATATTCCAGCTATATGACGGCGGTCTCTAAATAATCGAGTCTGGACCAGACAATCCAGTGATTAACATCATGGGCATCGATCCACCCAATTGGGATACGATGACATGCATCTAACCAAGTCAGCGAGCCTGACCACCCGATCCTTTTAGTCGCCTCTTACCACAAGCATGGGTTACTGAAGACCTATTCTACCCCTGAGTTAGTTAGGGACGAAGGTGGAAATGCTGCAGGAGTGCTGCCTTAGGCTTTATCGAAAACAGGAAAAGGTCCATTTGGTTTCAAGTAAAATACAACACCTAGTGCGCATCCCCGTCTTACGACTAGTAACCAGTCCTTTTTAGATAGATAGATAGATAGATAGATAGATAGATAGATAGATAGATAGCAGTGTTCATTATTTGCAGCAAGAGTTCCCTATGCATGCTATGCTATGAGTACAATGTATGCATGCGTGTACTGTGACTTTATGAAGAATATTATGTCCACGAGTTTCACTTGTCTGTCGATTTTGATATTCTAACGCATATCGCGACAGAAGGAATACTGCATTAACCTAATAACCCGTTGATTAATTTGATAAACATATCAAAACTCGATTAGTTCTGCATGAGGCAATACAGGACATACTTCACAAGACAGGCTTGACGCCAGGTCTTACAAATATGACATTTCTCTATGTCACCCACACGACAAGCCGTTGTGTGAGAGTAAGACACTGACTCTTGTGAAGTTGCGATCCAAGTTGGAAAAATTCTTAATCGTGAATATGAACGAGTGAATATCGATTAGACTATATATATATATAAAACTATATCAAACTAATACTCGTCATTATCATATGAAGCATTAAAGGTTCAATTCTGCAGTGTTCTTTTGATTAATTTATTTGTGTTTTTATTTTAGCGCTGATAGTTTGTCAATTTGAAATGATCTCAGTATCTTGTTAAAATACGGAAAAGGCCAAATGAAAGTGAACGATCAACATGCTCCCAAAGATTTAGATAAATTAACATTAATTAAGTAATCACTTTTATTTCAAATATAAATATCTATAAAAACTATATCCAACTAGTGTCGCAACTTCACAAGACAATTTCACTGTCTGGGTCTAACGAAACGCACGATTATTATATCATATACGGTACGGTAGATGAAAGTATCGTCAAGGTACATGTGAGAACAAATTTTGATAATGACCCAATTTACATTAATTAACAAAGGTTACAATAACTATGCCAAAACAAATACATTTAGATCTATAACCAAATTTGTGATGAAAGTATATGTTAATATTGCCGCTTTTGGTAGAATCACCCAGCTTGTTTCGCTGCGACATCTTCATGTGAATCTAAGCGCAAGACAGCTGCGTTAATCGGACGCATAGCTCAAGCTCCTCACAGCGATAGTATGGCATTAATTACGGAATTACTGTTATATTCAATTATTTTAAAGATATCTTGAATTGAATTGAAGATATCGTGAATTGAATATATCTTGAATGGAATTGTAGATATCTTGAATACAGATAATTACAGATATCTGCTATAAAATTTAGGATATCACGAAATGAATTAAGAATATGGTGAAGCTTATTACTCATATCTTGAAAAAAAATTGATGATATTTTAAATTTGATTAATGATATCAAAATTTGATTTAAAGACATCAAAACGTCATGTTTTGTAATGATATCAGTAATTCAATTCCTGATATCTTTAAACTAAATACAGATATCAATAAATAAGTATTGATATCTTTAATTGTTGCCATTATTAAAGACTTATGTATAGATATCTTCAAATGATTCCGTCTGTTAAGTACTGTGGGTAATGTTTCTAACCATGGCGGAAAAGTTCTTCTCACTACGGAGACCATGTTTTCAAATTGATCACTGCTGTCATAGTCAGTCCCCTCAACTCTTCCGGGAATTGCTTGGCGTGCCGTTGAAACTAGTTCCTGCACAAGTTGGGCATGGTTTGCCGCCATTTCGGAACCTGAAGAATTTACAGATATGTAGCCAGACCGGAAGTATTTGAAGATATCTGTAAATCATTTCCCGCACTTTTGAGGATCGGAATAATTCCTTTGTCGTTCCTTCATGCTATTTAAATTATATTACATATATCAACAATTGACATGAAGATATCTCCAAAGTTATTAATGATATCTTTAACTTGATTTTTGAAATCAGTAACGGTCAGAATTAATGATATCTTTGATTGAATTAAAGATATCTCTAACCGTATTAAAGATATTTAAAACGAATAAATGGTATCTGTAATGCATTTGTTGATAGTGAGTGAGTGAATGAGTGAGTATGGTTTAACAACGCTTTTAGCAATATTCCAGCAATATCACGGCGGGGACACCAGAAATGGGCTTCACATATTGTACCCATGTCGGGAATCGAACCCAGGTCTTCGGCGTGACGAGCAATTGCTTTGGCTACTAGGCTACCCAACCGCCCCGCATTTGTTGATAAGTATAACTTATTTCTAGATATCTTGAATTGAATTTAAGATATCTTGAATATGTTTCTTATATGATTATGTACAGCAGGATGGCAATTGTTTAATGATATCTTAAATACATTTAGATATCACGAAATATTTTGTTGATATCACAGTTTCATTTTAAGATATCAGTAATTGTATTTAGGATATCAGAAATGAATTCAAGATATCTTTAATTATTTTTTGATATCTTAAAAAAACCATTAATGATTTCTTTTAATTGAATGCCGATAAAATTAATTTAAAACAATTGATGATATATGTAAGTCCGTAGTAAATGTGAAAACGGCTTGTATTACGATAGCCCATTCCCGGAGCTCTTTATACTATTGTTACCGAGAGCGTAGCGAGAGTATAACGAGCAGGGAAGGAGCTTCCTCATAACCAAGCTCCTCGCAGTGATAGCCCGTTCGCGGACCTCTCCATACTATGGTAGACTGGTTCCAGGATCCTCCGCTTGGTGTCGCTGCACTTGTTCCGCTTTTCAATCAAGGTGAAGGTTGTTTTACCCAATACCGGTCGTTCCAGTCTGTCGCAGGAACGAACGGGAACCAGTCTACATACTATGGTTACTAACGAAGGTGTCATAGCTGGTGTAGGGGAAATAACTCCATCACATTACGGAAGTTCACGGAATATTGTTCGCGTGCTTCCGTTGTTTCATTTTTAATTTGTTTTAATAATAGAATAAATTGGTGTGTCAGTAATGCGACACACATTTAATCACCAATTGTTACATACATGTTTACCTCAACAGGTATTCACGAATATACCGAGATCGATCTCACGTGTCCGCGACACTGTCGTCTTTAAACAACATGGCGCCAATGTGTAATGGTTGTTGAGGTTGTCATTTGTGTTTTATGCACATACTGATATAATTGTCGCCACGGCGTGACAGACATGGCTTCAACGGAGTACACAAATGTCGATTGCCAATCAGTTAGCGATTTGCAAGCATTGCTGTGGGGAGTTGGACTAAAGGACGAAGTTTTCTCCAGGTGGACACAGGGTAAACAATACAGAATAATGTGACATTACACTAATACACTTTCATGGCATTGTGTCGTCAATTATGATTGTTCGAATGTTGATTTCTCAGTGACAAACGGTGTTTTCAGACGTAGTACGTTTAGAATTTGTAATGCCATTCTTTAACATGGTACAATTTGGAACTCACAACAACAATAAGCAAAACGATCATGTTCAAGCAGTTGGTTTGAAGCTTGTCATTTTTATGAAAGTAGCAGCGTTTAATGTGTACAGGTTCTTGCTGAAAGAAATATGCGTTTGGTTATTGCCTTCATTAAATTGTACCAATAAATTTCATTGATGTTCAATTGATTAGTTTAGCCAACTTTCAGTTTCAAACCAATTGATAATTTGATAGTGAAACCTGTGAATGACTATTTTCGGAGCACCTTTAGAATACAGTACCACAACTTCTCGTGAGGACGATCACTGCCGTAGGTCACATGTCTCAAAGACAAGCAACCAGTTTTAATGAGAATCTGTCGGATGCGAACTCGCAACATTCGGATTGTTAGCCCGACATCTAACCGACTGAGTGCAAATTTACCTGGTCATGCCTACCATGTTATGGAACTGAACGAAAAGGGTCGAATAGGTGACGGACACTTACGAAGGTTACAGGTAGGCATGGTGTCTCGTGACTTTATTCTACGGACACTTACAAATGATCCCGATGCCATTAGGCACACTCGTCCCATTCCGTAATTTACAAGATACGGTGGTTAGGAATGAGCCGATATGGCGTGAACTGAAAACGGCTCCAGGCGTCAGACATCGAACTCGCGAATACGCATGAATGACATGGTATTAAATAATTCATCGGGTGGATTTTGTGACCGAAAAGTGTGGTAGGGAACATTGTAACGATGATGTGGATGATAGTAAGGAACCGGGGAGGCATGAGCATGGCTAGTGACAACACAACGGTGGTGGCTTGTATGAATGTCCCAGGACAGTTTCCAGTAGCCAAAATATTTGACACAAAACCATTTCATTCTTTTAACTCAACTCAACTGGCGACATTTCGATGTGTTTGGCGCCAATATAATATCCCCAATCAGGCCACGAAGTTGCGACTAAATTGGTCGCCATGGCGATCTAGTTTTGTATTTTGCGACTGGTATTTTCATGTCAGACGCCAACTGGCTCCTTGTCTTTAATTAAGTTTGGCGACTAAATATCTCTTGTCATTAGATATTAAAAAAGATCGTTTTTAATATAAGAGCGGTAACTTCAGTGAAAAAAATCGATATCAGAACATAATAACATCGACTAGATCACTGCTAGGCCATGTGTACTGTTTTCGCTTTCGATATGAAGCTCCATACCTGGAATGAAGGAAGCACTTTCCGTTATTAAATAATGCACTAACGATGTTAAGAGTTTAATACCCACGCATGCGCTGTACGACATCCGCCCAGGTGACAGCTGTGGCGGTCGTTTCGCCGTTCAAAAACACAAAGTATTTTTCCATATTTGCGCAAGTCAAAACAACAACAAATCGTTGTCAATCGGTAAATGATGTAAACCGTATTTTCTTAAGTATTGTGCGCACCCCTCTCTAGCGGATTCAGAATTTTTTGGGGGTAAAAATTCGAATAGATCTTCCAAGCGCAGAAAAAAAATTACACCGTAGATATATCTACCCCTTTAGCGAAGTCCGGCAAACGAACGGGTGATGAGAAACTTGGTCAGTACAAATTGAGAGAAAAAATCACCAGACATGTTGATTTACCGTTTAAATTGTATTTTTTGTTCTGCTAGGCATTGATTTATATCCAGAATATTATATTCCAATATCTTGTTAATTTAGATGCAGCTTTTACTAAACATATTTGAAATAATAATAACCCTAAGCGAAGCAGCTGATTGCAATACCCGGGTATTACATGGTTTTACATGGAACCAGTCTGACCAGTCACCATCAAGGCTCCCGCGCACGTGATCGCGTGATCGCGAGAATTACGTGTTGACATAGAATCGTCCAACAAAAACAAATATGACTTTTAACGAGTCAAAGTATGGCATTTATGACATATCTATCCATTCTCTGTCAACTAAAGTTCGTTTCAAGGCGTCAATAGCGGTAATCTGACCGTGGTTTCTGTCAATAACGGTGAGTTGTGGGATCTTCCGATCGCTTCACACACGATCTCGCCGAAATTAATTAAAACAATATTAAAAGTAATTTTGAATAAAATTAATGAAATAAGTTACAAACATAAGTCCAGATATACAAAGAACACTTTTTATAGTCAGACAGTGTAATTACATGATTAATTTGCGTACTTCAGTATGGATTTGTTGACATGGTATTTCCGGTGTTACGTGCTCACGGTAATGTCTTTCCATGGGGGAAAAACATCAAAACTCATTATTTCGTGTATAATGCGCACCCCCTTCTACACAGCTGTGTTTTTTTTGTGAAGATAATGGGCAGTATACTCAAGAAAATACGGAATGCTTTGAATGGCGAAGTGACACGGAAGTTTCATCGTCTGTCGACACGTTCGATGAACCAAAACCTGCAACTGGCACCGGTAAACTGTCAGATGATGTTACTGACACAATGTTCTAAAGCTTGTTTGTCTGAAAAACTCAAAAGCTTCAACAACAGTTGTTGTTCATGATATAAAACTGATTATTCAAACTAATGGATTTTTGTGTGTTTTGTTATGCAGAAGCTCAGTTAAATTACAAGTCATTACTTTTGGCTCCTTACATTTTGCCTTGGCTCCTTGAAATTCTATTTGGCTCCTTGAAAAAAAGATTTAGGAGCCAAGTGGCTCCTTTGAATTTTTTTTAACTTTGTGGCCTGCCAATATACTGCATTCTTGTGCATAATAATGAAAATTAATGAACCGAAAAAATAATACATGTAAATTAGTTCCCACTTATAACCATTTTGAATTACGGGAAAAACGAAATAAAAAATAGAAGTGCTTTCGTAAACTTGCTATAAAATGCGCTGTTGCAGGCTATATTTAGTAAACTATTATTCAAATAATATTCAAAACTCTCAACACCGCTGGGCGTATTCAATAACATTGCGTGTAGAGATGATAGATCACTGGGAGGAGCTTATGCACACTCGATGACCCCTGACGTCACAGGGCATTGTGTCGCCGGTGTGACTGACAACAAAATACCACAAATTACGTCGTAGGGTATTGTCATGTGTTTGAAAAGTTTGTGGTACTGTATTCTAAAGGTAGGCCCTATTTTCAAATCACATTTGTTCATATTTATAAATATTTTGGTACACCTACAGAATACCTGATACCCATCCACCATGTTTGTTTGATGCTTCTTATAGTAGCCGACGACTCTACTTGACATCCATTGGGAAACATTTCAACAAACACTTAGTATTTTGATTAACTTTGGAAACTAAAAATGACCTTTGCTTTTGATAGCATTTGTTTCAAGTCTAAATGTTGTTGGCAAGACCTCGAAACCCCCTGGTTTTAAGCAAGGGGGATAAACATAGGAGCTTGTGCACGTTCCTTACCAGCATGGCAGAAGGTTTGCAGAAATACTGATATAACATGATTTGAAATATTAATGAATACATATTGCCAAAATACCAGTAAATTGCCTTTTTCAAAATCATGCATATTTTTCATCTTGTTGACAAAGTGTACATAAGTGAAAGATCAAACTGACAATTAGGAAATTCAGAAATTAGCAACTGATTCATGAATGTGATCGAGAAAGCAAAACTATTTGCGACCAACTTCCTATATACAGTAAACTACGGTTATAACGAACACGCTTATAACGAACTAACGGATATAACGAACTAACTTTTTAGCCCCGACTATATGCTGTAGTTAAGCTGTATATATGCTTATAACGAACTACGGTTATAACGAACTAAAATAAGTAGTTCCTTTGAGTTCGTTATAACCGTAGTTTACTGTATAAGGTGTCTATTACCGAAATACCTGCCTGCCCGACCGTCCGAGACGGGTTGATTTCAACTCGGGCTGCCAGATTTTCAAATTCCCCTGCCCGGCGGTCGGGTTATATTTCATATGTGAAAATATTCTAAATATTTCCCGATGATAAGCATTAATTCACATGTAAAGATGAATGATAAAATGTAACCAAAAAGAAACCCCGTAAGCTTATCCTGAGAAACATATGATTATAGTGGGCAGGCAGGTTTTGGTCAGGGCTGGCAAGTATTTCAGGTAGCCAGTCCTGTGGACTGGCTGAAAGTTTTCGGAGTTTCATACCCTGCTATTACTCATGCATTTTGACAATTGCAATATCCAACAACATGGCGAACAACTAGTACTTGTAAAAATTGTGAGTTATTTTTATTCAGGTTCACAACAAATTACAGCATGTACGGATGAAAAAATGCATGCAATATATTGTATGTATCGCAATACAGGAATCATTCTCCTCTATTCGATATGATGTAGCAATGTGTGAAACATCCACATGACAATGTCCTAGTTTACTTCTTTGTTGTTTAACACTATGCTCTGCAAAGATGTGGCTAGATTGCAGAACACTGGACACCATCCACCATTTTGGTAACACAAGTTTGCAAGCTCCTTCCTTTGTGTCCTTAGTTACGGTTTCTAAGTTGTTCAGCCGCCAATTTTAGTCATTTCGCTAAATTGACAGGGTACGTGTCATTTTCAGTTTTTCAGCATTTTGAAAAATACTACATGTGTCCCCCATGTATGTAACTGATGCGGTTGCCCCACACTATTATACAACTTCTATTTTCAAGTAATGTATTGATATTAATGTGTGCTTTTCAATGGTTATAGATTGTTTTGATATTAAGTTTCGAAGATTAGGCCAAAAGGAAGAGACTTTATGGATGTCAACTTCCTTATTATGAGGAACACAACGTTTTAGAGTATATGCTTACTCCTTCATCATTCACCTACTGAAGCTTCAGCAACCCATGCTTGCCATAAAAGGTGACTATACTTGTCGTAAGAGACAACTAATGGGATCAGGTGGTCAGGCTCACTGACTTGGTTGATGCATGTCATCAGATCCCAATTCCGTGGATCAATGCTCTTGATGTCAATCACTGGATTGTCCAGTCCAGACTCTATTAATGTATTATCATGCTGTCATCATGGTCATATAGCTGGAATATTGCCGAGTGTAGCGTTAAACAAAAAACAAACAAACACCTGATGAACAGTGATGAAGGAGTAAGGATATGCTCTGAAACGTTGTGATCCTCATTATAAAGAAGTTTACATCAATAAATTCTCCTCCTTATGCCATTCAAAGACTTAATATTAAACCATACACATGATACAAATTGACAAAGGGTAATTATTTCTGCTTATTTTGAAATTATCCCCCAATTTGTTTTAATAGCCATGGTATTGCATGTCAGTTTTTAAGAAGCTGCAAACAGATATGGTCATTAGGAATCTCGCATGATGCAAGTGTACCAAAGCTGTGAACTTGATGACTGCAGCCTATATATGATCAAGTCTGGATCTCATAAACCAGTGAATGATGATTCGAGCAATGTCCCACACCTTCAGGGTAGGATCAGATGCAATCAGCCTCGTAACCGAACCAGGGAATCCATTTAAATACATATATTTCTGTGAGCCTATTCTAACCAGGAATCCACGTGGGCACATCTTGAAAGAGATGAGAAGGCCACATCCTACTGTCCTAATCCATAACAACCTATGTGTGCAATCCCATTGATTCATAACATTCTAGAACTCAGCACCTGTCATTCCAAACATGCACTGTCTTGGTTACAGTCACTTCCACACCAGCCAAGCATTGAGTTACCTCACATCAGTCAGTCAGCATTCCTCTCACCCAGACACAGTAATGGTGCCGCTATTTGAATGTACAGTACATTGTATATCTATTAAGAATAAAAATATTTGTATCATGAACTTGCAACTTTTTATAAATTACATCTTACAAACTGTTGGCATAAATTGTAACTTCCAATACTGTCAATATCTTTGTCAGGTCCAAGTACCGCAGTCCAAGTACATCATTAAAGTTTCCTATTGACACTTCAGCTGTTTTATATGTTATATAATCTGGGTCAGGATGATTCATTAGTGTACTCATCACTATTTAACTGTTGCTGACTTTCAAAATGTTTCTTTAGTTTTCTGTGATTGATCACCCTTGGGCGACCAGTACTTGTACATGGCTGGATCCAATATATTGTCTTGCCAAGTCTACTGGAAATTAATGTGGTGTTAAGTGATCTATGCCATTCGGCATTATGGCTACGGGAATATCTACTAACTCATAAAAACATATCATCAGACCCAGGTGAGTTTCTATCTTATTTAAGGATGCAAGATGAAAATTTGACATTCTCACTGTAGTCAATACACGATGCAAAATCATCATTGATATTTAGAAAACGTTTCATGGTTGTCAGAGTTCTGCCATAGAGATTGGGTTGTGTAGCAATCTCCTCATTAACTCAGTCTTTGCACATCATTCTGCTTAAAAGATGCATTTTTTATTGCTACATTTCTATTGTATTTGTTCATATCACATGAGTATTCAGGCTTATTATAACGCGCTGGTGTGACGTTGATTAATGTTATAATTTGCATACTCGTATATGCAAGGTGTCAGCATATGGTTCTAGGTAGGAAGTGACAACTTGGAGACGATGGCTTGCGGTATATACAGTTTTACTTTATACAAAAAAGTCTTAGCTGTGTTGCTAGGATATTCAACCAGGGAAGGTTTGGGATCGGAGAACCTGTTCTTGATCTTGTTACATGCCGTGTCTTCTTTCTTGGTGATTGGCCTTCATGAAGGTAGTATATCATTTGAATAAGAGACTGTCACTTCCTACAGTATTGTGAACCATATGCCTTTCTGCAAAGAGGTACAGGAAAGGACAGACTTAGAAGTCTAGGCATGAATTTTGTGGCTCTATTATCATGACGCCACCAGTGGCTATTACGATTTATGTCCCTTCTATTCACCAATCTCTTTGCCCAATAAAGACGGCGTGATCGATAATCAAGACCTTATGGTAATAAAACGGGTTGAACCTCACGAAGTGCATCACATCACCTGGTCACTTTGATTAAAAACTGGAATATATTATGAAAATACTTGTTGCCACCCATCTTACCATGCTTACAGTAGACATTTTCAGCAAATAACACAAGATTTCTAGCCTGTACTGTATACCGATACTGTGTGCACAACCACCAGATGTGTAGGATGATCTTGGGTCCTACATGCAGCAAGCATGTTCCACACATTATGTCATTGTTGTGAGACGTTACATTGTCTGTTTGTACCTCAACTACAGGTTCATGTCAATGGTAACAAACTTACATGATAACAATGAAGAAAATAATTTTATTCATACTTGAAATGTTGCAAGACTGGTCTTTTTTGTTCTGTCAGTGAATGTTATTCGAAAACTTTTGTCATGTGATTGGTGTTTAATGGAAAACAATTATGATCACTAATCTTGCTGAAGAGGAAGCAGTTAAAAACATACGCATATTGTGATCAATATGTTTTGAATTGTTTAACCATACATAATCAAAAGAAAGATTTATCATCATTGTCAGCTTACCAATGTGATCCTGTTGATACGGAGTAACTTGTAGATATGCTTGATAGACATGTTCATATCCATATTGCAGGTTTGGTATTCAGTGATGATGAAGCCACTGCACTGATACAGTATGAAGGGGGACCGTGCGCTGTCATTGCACCAGTACAAGCATACCTCCTCAAGAGAATTCTGTTTTCACCCACTGCCAAGGACAGCATTACAGATGTGACAGGTAACAAGAAGATTGGACAGGCACCACAAAGAAAACCTTGTGTTGTCCGAAAGTCATCATCCCCTGTGTACCCCGGTATTGTAGTATTGCTCAGTTTGGACACAAGATCAAAATATTTGATATGATAACACTAACAATTACTGTGTCATCGTCCATAAACTTTTTACATTTTCAACTTCTTCAAATGGATTGATGGATTCAGCTGATGTGTGTATGTTTGTTACTATAAGCATGATAAGCAGTTCAAGGTTGTTCAAGGTCAGTCAAAATTTGAATTTCAGTATTGCTTCCAGATAGGTTTCTTTGATTAAGAAAACCCTTTTATAACCTCTTCTCCAAAACTTAAAGGGCCGGAGGCTTGAAACTTGGTATGCAATGGTAGGTGAGATGGTCACCATTTGTAGAAGTAAGTTTATTTCAGGAATCTTGATCAAACAGACATTTTGGAAAATCTAAAATCTGCTGTACCAATGAAGCAAAAACTTCACATACTTGTTCCCACCAGTTAAGACCCCAAAGTTGTTCAAGGGGTTTAAATCCCATTTTCAAAATGGATCAAAATGAGAATCAGATGGTTGCAATGTGTGACATACACCAAGCTCATGTACCGGTATCTTAGATCATCTTATCAAACATTGTTTTCTGTTGGGCTAGAATGGGTTCAAAACAGGTGGTTGCATTCATAAATAGAGTGTAGGTATATATCCAACTATTGAATGATATACACAGACAAGGATTATGAATAATCCAAACTATCAGTATTAGCAGTTTAACTATACATCTTAATCTATATGAGCATTAGAAATTAACTAAAATAGGTCCTAGGCCTCAGTGCTAGTGTGTTGTAACTTTCACTAGCCCAGGTGAAAATTCACTAGCCAAGAAAAACGTGGAAAAACATCCAATGAATACAAAACCTTTATTACATCATTGCCTAAATCCTGTATTGATAACAAGTTGAGACACTAACTGTATCTCCTTTCCCGGCGTCTTGCGCATGCATAAGGTAGGAAAACCTCATTTATTTCTTGTGTGTGCTACCGTTAACATCACTAAATGTTTTGAGTTGTCACAGCATGTTATTTGGCTGTTTTCACCCTGCATTCAGTGAGAATGTTCAGTTTGAGTAATTACTAGTGAACTAGGTTTAATTCAGCCAGTGAGAAGTGATAGAGGAGATCAGTCAAGTATCATGGCAGGGTGACTTGGACCAGAGAGTCACCATGGTAAATTGAAGATTATGTCACCACAGGCAATTGGGATACAATGACATGCATTAACCAAGTCAGTGAGCCTGACCACCTGATCCAATTAGTCGCCTCTTACGACAAGCATAGTCACCTTTTATGGCAAGCATGGGTTACTGGAGACCTATTCTACCCTGGATCTTCACGGGTCCACCACAGGTTTGGGTCAGAGATTGTACATGAAGGAAACAACTGTAAGTCAGTGGTCGTCAGAAAGATTGTGGTTCACAATTCTCAAGGGCACTAAACAGTAGCCACTGGGACTATTTGAGCTTGGAAGCCAGGGCTTGGAGACGGTTTCCCACTTTGCCTATGGACAACAGTGACAAAGAGAACTTTGTCACCAGCACATTATTACATTGTATTTCGACCTATTATCTAGTCAGCCAGGTAACCGGTCAGGTACAGGAAGGGGTATTGTATGCTGTGCACACCGACTGCACAAGCAACGTGTGCCAACCGTTGACAACTCAATCTCGGATTTTGCCCTAGAGCTGGACACTGATGCTCAGGCCTTGGGATTGGGATGATCAGCCAGGATGCATACCTACATGTACCAATGCTCCTTTAATCCAGGAAATATGTCTCCGATTCTCAGACAATTGCCGCCTTTACAAGTTTTTAGTACTACCATTCGGGATATTCATTGCACTTTAGTATATGAACTTAATATAACGTAATCTCTGAGAGAGCTTATGTCTGTTGTCCCTTGTTCGTCCGTCCGTTTCTTCAAACGACTTCTTCTTCAGAACCACTAATTGGAAATTAATGAAATTTGACTGGAAGCATGCTTAGGTGGTGGGGAGTCAAAATTGTACAAATGGTGGGGCTGACACCCCCCCCCCCCCCCCCCCCCTAAGGTACTGAGGGGCGGGTAAATAGGGGTACTTTGGCGTTATTGCTTTAAACGAAGCATTCTCCACTGGTGGGGATTCAAATTGAAGAAATGGAGGGGCTGAATACCCCCCACCTCCCCCGGGGATTGAGGGGCTGGGCAGGGCTCAAAAGGGTAATTAGGCAATATTGCTTTAAATGACTGGTACTAAGAGATGGACATCAACCATATTTTGTTCGAAGTATTCTCTGGCGATGGGAATTCACAATTGTACAAATGGAGGGGCTGACACCCGAAGGGATTGCGGGGCGGATCCAAAAAGAGTTTATGACTTTGACACAGTTAAGATCCCCACGGTATAACCATATATACAATTGCTGAGTATAATGAGAGGAATGCACATAAGCTACCAGGACTGGCCCTGCTGTTCATCTGTCCGGCACTCCCAAACCTTGACCATGCAAACCGATATTATCCCCACCCTATAATAAACAGATACATTGTATACATTTGTTTGTTATGAAGAGAATAATACCTTTATATTATGTAAATATCCAGGTGAGCGAAACAGGCCCTATGGGCCTCTTGTTTTATTTATCATACCGTAGACTTGATGGTATGAATTGAAAACCCATAGCTTGGACAGTTCGGTAATTCACCCAATCTAAACTAATAAATAGTTTCCCTCTATTTCCCTAAAGTGTAAAAAAACTGTATACATGTCCTAGTACAGACTCCATGTCATGAACAATGGCTATGGCAATGCAAGTGTAATGTTATCTAGAATTTTCTCCATATGATTTTGGTGTGTGGATTAGATGTTTTATGAAGAATACATTATTATCATTATAACAGAGTCATGTGCGCATATTTCTTTAGTCCGTTTTAGACTGCCATCGTTGGACTGAATAATAGTGAACTTACTGTTTTCATTAAAACATTTCTCCTGTAAACTTGTCGATAGGACTTTTTGTGACTGAAATACTTCAAGCCACAGGTAGGTCGATCAATATTTACTCGATATTTCAATAGCAACAGTCTGTGAAAAATTATATCCTTTTTTAACGGGCAAAAAGCATTTTCTGCTTCCCGACAATTCTTGGCTGAATTTTTACTCTTCCCACAAAGCAAATGTCACCTCAAGGGCTCAACCATCTTGACCTACCTGATAGCCATTAATTCAGTACTAGCCATTCCAGAAGATCGCAGAATTATGAAGATAACATAATTACAAACTTTGCTGCACCCGTTTCAACTGAAGTTCAGGGATCTGAATGTGGTTTTACAGTTGCAATGTTCGGCTCCCTTCGAGCCATTGCACTCTTCATCTTTTTATGACCTCCTACTTACCTACCAGCAGTCTACACCATCGCCTTCAGCGCCTTATGTACCGCTTCTACCTAAGGTTAATACAGCTATCCCACCTTGTAAGCCTGAAGAGGCACCTTCTTTTATAGTCTCCTCGATATAAGAACAGGAGCTTGTACAACGCAATGATTACTTTGCACAGTATGATCTTTCAGGTCCAAGAATTATATTTATATATTCAGCCTTATCTACAAGATAAGCATTGACTTTATGATTCTTCCCACAACTGTTACGCCACCTCTGATGGCAATACTCGGAGTAACGAGGAACTTTTCTTCATCGTCACCTCGATATAAGAATGGGAACGTTTTATACGACATTCACGGGTTGGAAATGATCACCTTACTTCAAAGGGTACACTCTTTCAGACCCAAGATTTGTATATTCAACTTTATGTACTGAATACAGCCTCGAATTTATTATTCTTCCCATGACAGTTACATCGTGCCTCGGACTGGTTAGGGAGCGCATTTATGTTGCCAACATGGGATCTGGCATTGATCCGAGATTGCTTATCTTGAGCTGCCGAGAGCTAAAAAAAATCCTTGAGATTTGGGTGATTGCCTTGATTGCTCTTCACAGTAATTATTCAATTAGTGCCATCATGGAAGGATATTTTTGGAGGTCAGACGCGGACACTACCAGTGAAATGTGGTTTAAGAAGACATCGAGGTCCCTTGGTAAAGGGGTTTTTTCCCTGTTTTTCCCACTCTTGGCTTGGTTATCCAGTTTTAAGACCCTAGGACACGCTATTGTCTCTTACTGTTTGTTTACCTGGATGTACTCATACTCTTGTTACCTTTCCTTGGACAGGGTTTGTTGATCAGGTAACAATCTACGCAGAAGGATTGCGCCGTATGACTGACATGACTACTGGTCGTGAGAGTGTTTATTGAGTACTTATCTAAAGATATCCCCACCTCCATACCATCGGATTCAGATGTGATAAGGAGTAATAAGGTGTAATCTAGACATTTTTCATATTTGTATACTTATCCTGCATTGCTACATCTAAGGCCCCACCTGTCACACACTTGCCTCCCCATGAAAACTTCATACAATTTATATGTGGCCAACAGTAATATGAAAGTTCCGGGACGTCACCACTCCCGGGATGACGTGGCAGCTGGTGATTGGGTGTCCTGCTCATGGAATGGAATTTCCTTTTTTAGCTCACCTGGTCCGATGGAACAAGATGAGCTTATGCCATGTCGTCCGTCTGTCCTCCGTACGTCAATGAATGACTTCTTCTTCTGAACCACTAATTGGAAATTAACGAAAGTTGACTGGAAGCATCACTAGGTGTAGGGGATTCAAAATTGTACATATGGTGGGGCTGAGGGGCGGGGTAATAGGGGTAATTTGGCTATATTGCTTTAAACGACTTCTTCTCTGGAACTAAGAGATAGATATCTGCTACCATGGCTACCAGGACTGGCCTTTCTGTTCATAAGGAGTTAGAACCTTGACCATAACATGCAAACCAATATTATCCTCACCCTATAAAAAACACATACATTGTATACATTTGTTTGTTATGAAGAGAATAATACATTTATGCCAATAGGATTCGCCCTGGGGTATATCTGGAAACTTAGATCCTGGATCATAACATGGAAACGGTTCAGATCTTTATGCTACATTTGTATCTAGAGAAGTACACATTCATGCTGTCAGTCAAAATTACGAAATATTTGCAGTATTATATACATGTACAATGCAAATGTATATTTTGTCATGATTGCGCAAAAATAGAGGTGAGCAATATGGTCCTTGTTTCACTTCAGCAGGACAAATCTCAAAATCACAGCTTCATTTCTTTCAAAAGCAAGCAGTAAATGCATTGAGGAGTAATGCAGGATAAGTATACAAATATAATAAATGTCTATATTATACTTGTAACAGACAAAATACAGGATTTAAGACTGATGTATTAGAGGTAGTATTCTTTGAATTATTTACAATGATAACTATTGTTTGATATTTTCAAGTGTTGTGTAATCCCATGTTCCAGCACCAGAGTACCCTGTGTTTTGGCTGGTTGGCTGTGCAAAACCAGCTCCTAATCATTGAGCCATTTACAGTTGTCATCAATAAAATAAATAAATAGAATTATTAATTTGTTCTTCTTGTTATTATTTGCTGTATGTCAAAAGAAACATTTCAATAAATATTCTTTTCATTAATTTTGGCAAAATCATGTATGAACTGAATAACAGATTGCACCAACTTGCCATCTATTTACCATAATGATCAGATAACCTCTATTGACACCTTGAATTGAATATATAGTTATTGAGGAAAGGATACATAATATCATAAATGCTATTCTTTGACTTGTTAAACGTTTTATTGTTTTTATTTGAATGTTTTATGTCAGTATAGAACTTTTGCAATCAAAACAGCAATTCCCTGAGAAGTATAACACAGAATATAATTTCACTGATAGATGTCAGGAATGTTATGTTTGGATGAGTCTGGATCGTAGTAGCCCAACAAGCTAGTGTTTGCCATTTACTATCAGCTTGAGAACAATTCTATTTGCCTGGGCCTAAAGCACGAGCGATCTGTTTCACTGAATATCAGGTATGATGATGAGCTAATGGATAACCATTTGACATGTCTGCTGTGTTGTCTCTGTGAACTAACTGAAAGTGATTGCATATCAGATGCATGATTCTGCATCTCCGGGAACCATGACTCAGGTGTACCTATATTGCATATTTCAAGTACATTTAGGGAAAGTTTATGCAATTCCCAACATCCATTTCAATCTCTTTTATCTTTTCCCACTGGTTGTAAGCCAACACCATTTCTTTGTGTTGTACTGACTGACAACAATTCAGCAATAAGCCTTGTTCCATGTTCCGCCCTTTCCAGGGATGATAAATGTATATTTTGTATTTTAATGAAATTGTTGTTTGTAGGTGAGGAGGCTTCAGAATATCTTTTTGAGGCTTTGTTGGAGATGGTGTGTCAGGTGGCTCAGGACAACTACACCCTTGTGTGTATGGATGACTGTGACATGGAGGCTCATACATCAGCAGCCGACTCTCAGGAAACAGGCCAGCGTAGCCCCAAAAGAAGAAAACTGGACCAGGAGACATTCCATGCCAAGCTCAAGTGAGTTGTCTCCCCTTCCATGCGCACGATTTCTATGGCATTCACTGTAAACATGGCCAAAGGTTTTGCCATTGGGTAGACGTTTGCCTTCAATACAGCCAATGTTTATTATATTGACTACAATTTAACCTGTGAACTTATTGTTCCATTATTAATGGATCAATTTTAGGCTGTAAACTGATCATCAAGGGTGCCTGTGAGTACTTGGATAAATAGGTGTGCGCAATTTTGCTGTATTGAATATGTAAAAATGATTGCTTTTGTTTATTAAATCAATGTTATTTGCAGATGTATAAAATGTAATGAGGAAAATCATTTGAGGATATCCCTGAAGAAACTCTTCCGTCAGTACCAGGGAGACTATGGAGTGTTGTTGTATCTATATTCCATCTTATTGACCAAGGTAAGACTGGCACCACCTCTTACTAACACCAGGGAGCAATTGCAACGTAAAATTTTCTCCTCAATAGGGACATCATGTGAAATGTCTGTTTTAGGCAACCTGACCCAGTAATATGAACATGGGTCTGAAGTGCAATTTATGTTTTATTAGTTAGTTTCCTAGATTCAGTGTAGGTAGTTGAATAAAATAAGAAAATAAATTCCTCCAAAATTTAAAAGAATGATTATTGAGTTGACAGTAAGTGATGCACAGGTTGCTGGGCCTGGAGACGTGGGAAAAGATGCTATTTCAGTCCTTGTTCTGTCACAGTAGTCATACACATCAAAATTAGAAGCAACACACATTTCTAAACCTTTCATAGATTGTACACATATCAAATATACTTTGATATGTATAATTGAAAATCAGTTGAGGATTTGCTTTCCATTTGTGTGGTGTTATAAGATAGCAGTGAGGTATTTAAATATAAATAAAATGATTTTATATCTTATCCTGCATTACTACCTTAATGCTTCTACTGCTGTTCGTTTGAATTGGAAGAGCTGGTCCTGGCTACAGAAATTGTACAAACCAGTTGTGTGGCTCTCTTCCCCCCACAGCTACCTCGTGACCGGAAGTGACAACATCATATGTAATCACATCACTGCTAGTCATCAGATTGTACAGATGTTTGAGAATAGAGCTCCCCAGTTTGAAGAACCAGATAGCATCCTATACCATAGGTTATCCTTTGATAACCAATACGTTCTCAATTGTATATACATAGCCTGGTGTACTAGGGTGGTCCGTTCAGGCTTACATTAGCGAAATTGTTGCCTTATTATGGCTCTTTCCCTTCGTGAGTGTGTTGTACCATCTGCCATGTTGTTTTGCCATGTTGTCATGTATTCATGTCTTGTGCTTTGATATTTCAATATGCCTGTCTTAGCTCTTGTTCACGTGCTATATATGGGTTTTTTTCTGGGCATTTTAAGTGTATGATTAAACTCCTTATATTGTAATTTTCTCTCTAAAATTTACTCAAATATTTCTATAATTACATGCCTTTCATTCTTTCTTTTTTGGACATGTGTCTATCATGCTTGCAACGTTTGTCTAATTCTTTGAAATGATATGTTGCGTTGCTCAAAATGCTGGGGCAATAAATCCTCCCCCCTGTGCGCCAAATGTACGGCATTGTGATGGTGCCAGATTATTCTCTCTCTCTCTCTCTCTCTCTCTCTCTCTCTCTCTCTCTCTCTCTCTCTCTCTCTCTCTCTCTCCACTCTCCTCTCTCCTTGGTTGTCGCAACCAACGATGCCTTCACCCTGGGTGCCAGTGATCTGGCCTGCCACTTATCAACCTATTTGCCACCAGCCAGAATATATCAACTCCGGACCTACATCTCTCTGGTCCCGGACCATCTGGCTTGGCAAGACAACACATTCAGCATTCCCTGGATAGGCCTAAAAGCATATCCTGATCCCACCTGTACTACTTATAAGGGTTACTTGGCACATAGAACTTCGGCACATACTCTCAATGATGACAAGTGGTGTTCCTTTGAATCCTTCTGTAAGGATATGAAACAGCACCCTATGTCGGCATCACCAAAATTTATGGCCCAATTTCTTCTCTATCTCTGCAACAAGCGTCACCTCAAGGATAGTACCAAAACTACTTATCTGGTTGCCTTCAATTCGGTGCTGGCAGCTCCTATGGATCGCAGAATGACCAAGATCAAGTCACTACCTGCAAGACCTTGGAAGACATGGAAGGCACCCACAGCTTTGGCCCTTTGGTGGTTTCCCAGCAGGTCACTTCCCTGAAGCGCCATTGACTCTTCCCTATGTCCAACCTTCCTACCTCTCTGGTGCGTGTCGCCCCAGACTAGAAGGTTTATATGCTATGTGCATTAGCTCAGTGTGTCAGTTTTAGACTTTAGCTCTGTTTAATTTCTATAACTGCAATGATACCTCGACATCCTGCATACCTCACTCTCTCGTTTCCTTCCAACAGGAAATGGTCAGTTGATGCCGGACATTGTCGTTGTTGATTTGTGGGAGTTTTCAAGAGAGTTTTGTTGATGATCACATCTGAAGATATGCCCTCCTCTGTACTGTCCAATATAAAGATGCATTAAGGATTAATGCAGGATAAGTTAAAACATCTAGTAAAATCTAGTTATTTTTAATTTTGTATACTTATCCTGCATTACTTCATCTAAAGTCGCCCACTTGCTGCAGAGATGCCTCCCCAAGATGTCTTCAGCTGCTCTGTTTTTAGCAGTAATGTGTTGATCAGTCACATCATCACTTTTGTGGGAGCTGTGTAATGGGATTAGCCACACAAATAGTTAGAACAACTTCTTCTTCATCAAGACCTCACACTGCTCTTTCTCTGTCAAGAACTAGCAGTAAATGCATTAAGGAGTAATGCAGGATAAGTATACAAATACAAACATATCTGGATTTACCTAGAATGTTAAGTACTCACATGTCTTTTGTTCAGTTCACCTGGTATGGCTAGGGTTTTATTGCTTATAAAAGTTACATCATATGTGAGGGATAGCCATGAAAATAATGAAATTTTAGTTCACCTGCCCAGAATCAAATAACTTTTGTCGTGCTCTGTTTGTCCGCCTTTCGTCGTCTGTTGTAAACATCTTTTCTGATGCTCTTCACCAATGGAGCTGAAACTCCACATGTCTGTTCCCATCAATATGGACACACCAATATGGTCAAGAAGTTCTGACCCAATTTTAAACATATCCGCCATGGCAGCTATTTGTAAAGCCTGTTTGTCATTGGTAAACATCTTTCCCCTACCATTGGACCAGTAAATTTGAAATTTCACATGCCTGCTAAAAAATAATGATCACACCTAAAATTGTTCAAGAGGTTAAAAACGGATTTGAAAACTGTTGCCATGAAACTGAATACCTTCTTGTACATGTTAGTATCATTTAACACATTCACCAGTATGAATCAGTAAGTAAAACCTGCCAAATGTGAGAGTCAGTACTTTGTCACATTAATTAACTTAGTGTTTAAATAACAGGGACTAAAAAACACGTCTTCTCATCCAGTAGAAAATCATCCAAATTGTAGATACCAAGTTATGATAAATAAAGTACAAAGATATTAAGTGATATTATGCATGTATGGCATATATATGTATTGCAAGAATATTTTCCTATTTGCAGGGCATAGAACAGGTGAAGAATGAGGTGGAGGATCCCTCTGAAGCTCTCATAGATGGCACATATGGCCATGGAAGGTAGGTACTATCATGGAGCTAATAAACGGGGGGACAGGATCAGGCAAGAAACACACTGCACCAAAAAGCCACAAATTTTTTCCTCGTGAAAACTGCACCAAATTAGAAAAAAAACCAGCACCATATCTATAATAACATACAAAATGGAATATGGTGAAGACATTATCTTACCATTCATCATGCAAGCATTTATCATTAAACCAATATTCACAACATGCAATTATTATGAATATGACATGCTTACAATGTGGTGTTTTCACCAGGCCAGCCTGGGTGACATTTGCAGTGCCATTTTAACTGGAGGGCCATATTACATATGATGAGATTAACATTGAGGTGTCAGTATGTTTTCTATGAAGGGGGTGCTCTTGTTCAGTTTATGCATTCCAAAGGCTTGTCACAATAGTTCAGTTGAGTTTGAATTTTGTGGATCACACTTCTGGTGAGGGCACTCCTCGTGAGAGCTTCTAGAGTTAGGTATTGCCCACACTGAAACTGAGGTTATGGAACATGATGTTGCCTTTGACAAGTGACTTCACCCAACAGTGAATGGGTACCCAGCGGGATTATATGGAAATGTGAATGTAGAACTTTATGTGCTTTGTATGTGCTATAAGCATTCTTTTTGTGGATTCAGTGCAATGCAAATGTACATAATAACAAGGCTTTTCTGATAAAGTTGCCTATCCTGGTAATACCACAGTTTCCTGAAACAAGAATGACTGGAGTTTTGGACAGTTAGCTGACAGGACCAAAGCACAAAATATTTTACTTGAGTTGAAATGTTTGCAGACCATTTTCAGTCAGCGTTTGTTTCTAAGTGTTTTTATTAGATCTTGTTGACCAGGTATTGAGGGAACTGCTAGTCAGAAAATAAGCACTCACTTTCCATGATTGGGATGTGCTTGTTTTCCTTGCCATGAAGATATTTCCATTTGATCTTATGAGTATGTCTAGTTACGAAGCTGGTTATGGTAGCCTCAACTGTGGCTATGCTTGTGCTTCCAGTGATTTGAAGATGTGGTCTTGATCATGCTTTAATGTGCTTCATAGCTCGCTGCTGGGTGCTCATCACTTCAAATTGTAAACAGCCTAAACACTTTGGAATTCCTTATGAAATCAAGACTTTTGCTGGAAGCTTTAGACTTACTTGAAATAGTCTATCAACAGAACAATCTGACTTTATCATGTTTATTCACTTGTAGAGTGCTGTATTTAATTTTGACATTCTTTACATAACTTAGCACAAGGGATAATATTTCCTTACAACTACCATCAGTGTGTCATCATAATCACAACAGCATTATACAGAATATCTTTGTAGTTGATTCTGTATCCTCATGAGACCTATGAAGATCCAGGGTAGAATAATGAATAGGTCTTCAGCAACCCATGCTTGCCTTAAAAGGTTACTATGCTTGTCGTAAGAGGCGACTAATAGGATCGGGTGGTCAGGCTCGCTGACTTGGTTGATGCATGTCATCGATCCCAAATGCTAGGATTGATGCTCATGATATCAATCACTGGATTGTCTGGTGAAGACTCGATTATTTACAGACCGCCATCATATAGCTGGAATATTGCTGAGTTAGGCGTTTAACAACCAACCAACCAACTGTATCCTCATGAGGATTGAGTTGTTTTCAGGGTTGTGTGAAATCATCCCTAACACGTGAGAATGAAAGGAATATTTTGCTAAGAACATTTACCTTTTGTATGTACATTCTGCAAGGACACCTGCATTTTGTGCTAGAGGTAATAAGACAATAGCTAGTAAAAGGACCACACTAACAATTGGAAGCTTCAATCAAAATATTTCATAACCAATCAGAATCCAAACAGCAAGAATCTGTGTGTCAATGAACTGTAGCATGGTATGATGTACTTACAAAATATTCAACATTTGTTGCAGCCAGAGTTTGATTAACCTCCTCCTGACGGGCAAGGCAATCTCCAACGTGTGGGACAATGACAAGGATGTGTCTGGTTTACGTAAGTCAAGGGGCAGATCATATCCATCAATGCCCTTCAATTTGATTAACTTCATCAATTTAGTTTATTGGAAATACTGTTTGAAGACCAGCTGACCATTTGTCTTGATCATTATGAATAAAAACGTTGTCAGTAAACATATGACATTGGGCTTCAGTTACGAAATGGGAGCCACTTCCATCATGTACTTTCTTCTCCACGTAATCAGGAAGTTCATCTTGCAGTATATCCTGGACATCCATTAATTCCACCAGTTTTGTCAAACAACAATTATTTTCTATGGGAGATGCAAAGAATTTGTCTCTATTTTCAAACTTGTTGGATAAATTTTATCGGTTTTACATACATATGTAAGTTTTCAATTACCGGTAACTGGTTTGAATAACAAAGCTTTAACTAAAAAAGCACTGGAACAAAGGCTCTCATTGGTTCATACATTCTTGTTAACTGCATGAACTTGCAACCTGTTCAAGTGAAACCAAGATGCTATCTGATTTTCCTAAAAGTTGCAACAACTGAACAAGATAGAAGTAGGACTTAAGTTAAGATATCCATGTTATTACTGTACCTGTTCTGGCCTTTTGAATGTCCAGATAAGTTAACAAGTGATATTAGCATGTTTTATTGTTTTGTGTATCATTCAAGCAGTAACATGAAATATTCCACAACGATTGCTGGTTGGTGTTCAGCGCAGTCGATAGAGAGGTTGGGAATTCAAAACAAAACTCTAAAGTTTGATTCCCACTTTCATCAAAACATTTGCAGTTGCTTATGGTGTTTGTCGTTTAATGACCAGTTCCCCATCACTGTGCATGTGGTACGTAGCACATGCCTAGGTAAACAGTTACCTGAAGTACTTCTGAATAACTGGTAAAGGGCATCAACTAGAGTAAATGTGTGACAGTCCAGATTTCCAGATAAATAAGCATTTTCTATCTAGTATGAGTGTGGCTTCTTTGAATGGCATATGAAGTGTGGGATTTAAAAAAAATCCTATTTTCAGATAATTGGCCTGAAACAAAAGTGGCTGTGTTTGTTGTTTTGACTGACTTCACCAGGATATTACTCATAATCAGCTAGTTTTGTTTTTACACGTGGTAGTTTTTCCAAACAAATATTACCTCTCTAAAATACATTGTATTTGCTTGTTTTGCCATTGATTTTGATTACTCCTATATTCTGCTTTTTATCCCCCGCCGGGCCAGAATGGCCGAAGGGGGATTATGTCGTGGCGCAGTCCGTCCGTCCGTCTGTCCGTTTTACAGAGGGTACTAAGCTTGTGAAATCAACTCCTCCTACAGTTTCCAGAGAATATCCCTGACACTCTACACACAAGATGTCGACATGTTGATATGTGCTACATACCCTGGTGAACCAAGCCAAGCAGACACATGCTCATTCAACCTTAAGTGCTACTTTTCATGGATTCTCCCAAGAAAACATTTGTACCATCTGGCAAGGAAGTTCACTGATTAGACAGGAGTTAGTTCAGAAGGGACACACTCATGACTCAAGACCTGTGATGTTTGGAATTATGTACTCCCATTAATTGTCAAACAACTAGAACAGGAAGGAAGGTATGAGTTTGGATTTGGGGTCACTCCCACTTTTATTACTGAAGACTTTTAACAATCCAGGGTTTTCCAAGATGTCAGAAGCCACTGATCCCTGGGGTATATTCTCGCAATGATGTAATGGAGGTTGGGTATTCACAAGAATTATCAAACAATAGCTATCAATGTAAATAAATTCAAAGAATACCACCTTTTTTACATCTGGAGCATAATATGCATCTTGGATAGATGTTGGAAGGAAGCAAGGGTTTCCATCCTTGCACATTCTGGGTGCTATGGAAGGTGGGATACTATTACTGTCACAACTGATATGTATAGTTGACAGTGAAGAGGACTTCTGATGAAAATTTGATTTCTTTTATTTGTGTAATGTTAGCCAAAATGGGCAATTTATGGCAATGATGTAATACAAGTGATTATCTTTGAATTGCTAACAATGATAACTATTGTGAGATTTTTGTATACATACATGGGGCCGTCGGGTAGCCTAGTGGTTAAAGCGTTCCCTCGTCACGCCGAAGACCCGGGTTCGATTCCCGACATGGGTACAATGTGTGAAGCCCATTTCTGGTGTCCCCCGCCGTGATATTGCTGGAATATTGCTAAAAGCGGCGTAAAACCATACTCACTCACTGTATACATACATAGGTTGTTTCATTATGCATGACAGATATATTGCAGCTACAATGTTGATCAACTGTTGCCCTGCTGCGTGTTACTGTTTCCTTATTACATGTGTGTTATTATACCCCCGTTTACAAAGTAAATCGGGGGTATATAGCATTCCGTTCTTCCGTCCTTCCGTCCGTCCTTCCGTCCGAGCTTCTGTACGGCCCATTACTTTTTAACCATGCACCCTAGCTTCACCAAACTTGCTACACACATTTACCACAATGAGTACTTGTGCCTTTTGCTAGTTTGAAGATTCTGAACTTTTTAATTTTTGCCGTTTCCATGGAAACATGAAAAAACTTAAACTTTTAGGGTGGGTGTTTTGTACGGCCTATATCTTTTTAACTATGCACCCTAGCTTCACCAAACTTTCTACACACATTAACCACAATGAGTACTTGTGCCTTTTGCTAGTTTGAAGATTCTGAATTTTTTAATTTTTGCCGTTTCCATGGAAACATTAGAAACTTAAACTTTTAGGGTGGGTATTTTGTACAGCCCATAACTTTTTAACCATAAATTTTGGGTAGAGTTTTTGTACGATCCATGTTTACAATATTATGTATTCTAGCTTCAGCAAACTTGCTACATTAACCGCTATGATTGTTTTTTTTTATCTTTTATAACATTCTGAAAGTTTTGTCTTTTGCTGTTTTCTTGGAAACATGATGGAATTTAGAAATTTTGATGACTGGTTTGTATAGCTAATATATTTTCAAAAATTGTTTCCACACATGTAGATCATCATAAGTATCTGTGCTTTGTGATAGTTTGAATTTATGAATTCTTTACCATATCTGTTAAGGCTAGATGGAAATTATTAATTTATTGATTTTCTTATATGATATTGTTCCATTTTTTATGTGTTTTTATATCAACAATTTTTGGTCCTTTTGATAATTCTTCTTATAACTCCTCAATCAAATTTTTATTCAAAGGTGTTCATGGTGATCTACTTCCTCGTAGTTAACACTGGTAACATGGGAGATTTGGGGGGGGGGGGTTAGAAATATGTAATATTTCATTAATTAACAAACTATTTACTATTTGTTGTTGACCAGGGGGGATAACGGGGGTATGTGAGCTTTGCTCACTTCTTTCTTGTTGTTTCCTTATTACATGTGTATTGTTTCCTTATAACATGTGTGTAATGTTTCCTTATTACATCCGCGTTATTGTTTCCTTATTTTATGTGTAATGTTTCCTTATTACATCTATGTTATTGTTTCCTTATTACATGTGTGTAATGTTTCCTTATTACATGTGTGTTATTGTTTCCTTATTACATGTGTGTTATTGTTTCCTTATTACATGTGTGTAATGTTTCCTTATTACATCTATGTTATTGTTTCCTTATTACACGTGTGTTATTATCCAGGGCTGCAGGGCATCAAGAAACAATCCCCCGTGGGCTTCCTTACGTTGTTGGAGCACCTGCGCTACTGTGAGGTGATTACATGATGACTTGCCACTCACCTTGCATTGGACTCCACTACTATCAGACTATGGAGCATTGTTATCTGGATAAGGAAGAGGTCAAATGTGTGTCGTTAAAATATACCTGCTTAACGTCTCCAGTTGTGAAATTGTTGAACTCTTGTGAAACTCCTCTCTGTAGGCTCTGTGAATATACTTATTGCAAAGCTTAGTTCTTCATCCCTCTTATTGGTGTTCCTGTTTGTCCCTGCTAATATGTTGGAATGGTTTCATTCAGGTAGGCTGGTTTCTGAAGAACCCCAAGTACCCTATTTGGATTCTAGGAAGTGAGACACACCTGACAGTCTTATTCACAAAGGTAAGTGATGGATTCAAGTAATGAATTGATACTTATCATGTTTACATTCTTCAGAAACTCACATACATTGAGAATACTACTCTCATTCTCATTAGATACCATAGAAAGTTCATGAGTGATATATCCCCAAAATGTTGACATTTGAAATTGTTAACATTTCTATGCATACGCATTAACAACATGCGCTTGAAGTTGTGTTTACAAACAAAACAGCACTGACTCTAAAGATCTTTTTGGAAAAATTTCTTCAACATATGGTTACTCAAGCACCTGGTACGCAGGACATCTATAAGAAAATTTGAGAAGTCACATTAGCGCCGCGCTTTGAATATCGGACCAACAGTTGGTCACTCGTACTGCCGGGGTCCCATCTGTGCAATCAAAATGGTTCAGTTTCCTTGATCTATCAGCTGAATTTATATCATGTCCGTACCATTTTGGAAGAGGGAAATCAGAGTGTTCGCCAAAGACATTCATGTTAACTGTACCACCCTATAATGAAGACCTGAAAAGCAACAAACTCAAGTCTGCTTGCATGTCAGTGACAGCTTCAAACGATCAAAGGGCAAGCGTGATCTACTCACAGCGTTTTACGCTAGAGAAAGGGAATGTACGTTATTGTTCAATTTTGGGATATTTAATCAGAAGTCAGGCACTCTTCTACATAGTTTTCAAATGATATGTATCGGAAATGTTCATTTTGAGTAATCTGATCGTGCAGTCGTGAACAAACAACTCCCGAAACACTGCCACAAAATACGCTTCGAAGGGGACACTGGCACAACCGGATCATCCCAAGTAAGTCTCGATATCTGTCCAGATAGTTTAAACTGGCTTCATTTCACCACGCTTATGTTAAATCAAATTGAAAGATGCGAAAGTGGTCGAGTGCGTCACTCTCATGGGAACCCACGATGTATTGGTTGGTAGTCGTACATTGTAAATATATACAGCTCGATTATATAATGTATGTAGAAGCTCTATGCATAACCTATATAGAATGCAAACAGAATTTGATGTGTGACTATCATGTTTTGTTTAAAAAAAGTTTGTAAATATCTATCGCACTCATGGGATTGCTTCAGGTCTGCCTTGTCGTTTCAAAATGAATGACGTCTCACGATTTTTTATGAATGAAAAAAGTAGTCCAGGTGTGACAGAGGTCACGGTTATAGAATCAAAACGAATAAAACAAGGTCAACCTTGTACGACACACGTGTGACGTACGGATTTAGTATCTTACCACCTGTATCTTCACCATGTTAGTTATAAATTGTGTTATGTTATGTGTTATGAGGGGAACATAGGAATGGGATCTTTCCGTCCGTCCGTCATTCTGTTCATCACGTTTCATTCCTGAAGCAGAACTCAAAACCCATTTAATATTTCTTAACCAAACTTTGCACACATATCACTTGGGTGCGGAACTGGTGCCTTTTGCCTATTAGAGATTTCTAACATTTTTAATTTTTCTGGTTTCCATGGAAAAAAGTTTGACTTCGTATTTTTCTTGGTAGGGTTCTTTTCCGGGCTATAACTTGCAAACTATTACATATTTTTACACAAGACTTTGTATGTGTACAGACCTGGAGATGAATTGGTGTCTTTTGCCAATCAGGGTATTTGATATTTTTCATTTTTCATGAAATATGTCAGGCTAGAGTGCATTTTTGGGTGATGTTTCATTTGGGTTGCAATTCAGAAACAATCTTACGTTGTATGAATGTTTGCATATACACAGGTCAAAGAACAAAACAGTACCTCCTCCTTATATGGATATACTAGTCTTTTAATTTCTCTGCCATTAATGAATATGTTAGCTGAAATTTTATCAAAACAACCATATATGATTTATGATGCAACAATTTATTTTAACAGAAGTAACACAAACTAAGCTTTGACTTGATATCAGAACAGAGTACAATTTTATAATTCTAGACTTGCCCATAATTTGGAAATGAAAAATCTATGCATCTAGAAATTAACTGACTACACTTGATGCATCTTGGTCAAATATAATTAGACTGCATTTTCTTATGTTAGGCTGCATGTGTGCAATACTGTTAATCTTGAAATTAACGTGAGCGTGAACTAAATGCAAGTGGTCTTTGCCTGCATTAATTAACTTCGCATTTAATGTCACTAAATGACTATCAACAATAAGACAGCCTCACTGCACACTTAGGATAGCGGAAATACCAGCTTAAATATAAACACAAAAGCATGGTTTATTGAGCAGCAGTTGTAACAAGTATATAGCAATGTCATTCAAAGAATGGGAATTACACAATGGGTATTCTGGTAAGTTATCACTGCAGGGGTCAAGAGTTCTACCCACTTGTGTCAAGCTTGTTGACACCTTCTAACACATACCAATCATTGAACTGTTGTTGGTTCAATTATTTTATTGCCTTTGAACATCCTTAATACCAGTGAACAGAGTAAACATATAAACTGTGTGTTGTTTTTAGGAAAACACTGTTTATTGATTTTATGGAAATGCTTTACTCAGTTATAATAAGTGGTGCTATTTGCTGTTGGATTGGATTAAGGTAAGGATATGTATCATTCCACTGGGGATTGGATTGGGGGAGTGGCATTGATATTGAGTTGCATTTTTGGCTAGGGGTCTGCAGTCGTTTTAATTTGGAGATGCATTAATTTCCAGATTTACAGTATTTAGGTAGCGAACCCAGCATGTAAACATAAATTTGTTCCTCCTCATGTTTGTTCATCTTTCAATCAAATGTGGAACAAATGAAGAGAGAAAGATCACTTCTCACTGTACAAAGGTTCCTAAATGAAATCAATACAGTCGGTGAATGTTCTCTGCAACCTTTTCTGTTTGGTAAATATTCTCTTGGAACTTTTTGGATGGGGAATAATTCTTGGTTACATACATCCCAACTTTCAATGATTTTATGACAATTCATGGTATAAGCTCAGATGGACCCTATTCAGATGATCTACCGGTGACAAACTTGTTTCTGCACTTGGATATGAAAGCTCCCTTGGCGGGGGATATGAGTATTATATGCTTGTTGTAGGTTATTTCTGATGATTGTTAGTGGCAGTGCGAGATAAGTTTCTAGAAGGCTGGCTTTACCTTAATGTGAATGTGATTTGAGGCCTTCTTTGACTTGACTTGTGATTTTTCTACCTGCCCAGTGAGGGTGGGTTGCCTATCTTTAAGCACCAACTTTCCTGCCTCATTCCCAAACTGTTCAGTGGTTTCAAGAATGGAGTACATGCCTCATGCAAGACATTTAACTGTGCCAAATTCTGGACATTCATGAGTGCACTGACCTGTAATAGAGCCTGTTATTTACTGCTGCTGCCACATATTGGACTCACAGTATTGCCTTTTATGATTGTAAACCTAATCCTGTGTGTTTCAATGTAATTTGTTATTATCCCCTGCCCAACAAAGTTGGCGGGGATTTAGAAACGGGCTCCGTCCGTCCGTCACATGTCCTTTCCGGAGCATAACTCATAAACCGTTCAATATTTTTTCATCAAACTTTGCAGGTCTGTCAGGTACATGCTTATGCTATTTAGAAATTTTAGAAATTTTATTTTTTACATTTCCATGGCAACAAGATGGACTTAGGTTCTGCGAGGGTAGGGTTCATTTCCGGAGCATAACACATAAACTGTTCAATATTTTTTCATCAAACTTTGCAGGTTTGTCAGGTACATGCTGAACTGGTGCCTTTTGCTACTTAGAAATTTTAGAAATTTTTATTTTTTTTACGTTTCCATGGCAGCAAGATGGACTTAGGTTCCAAACCCTTCCTTTTTTTAAAATTTCCATGACAAGTTCCACCTCGGTTAAAAAAGGTGTGGTAGAGCGACTGCCCGGAGAGCGGAAGGTCCGGGGTTTGATCCCCGGCTGCGTCATACCAAAAGACGTTAAAAGATGGTACTTGTTACCCTGTCTGGCGCTCGGCATTAAGGGGCTAAAACAAGGACTGGTCGGCTCGGAGTCAGTATACTGTGTCTGAGTGGGGTATTCATGTTAAACTGCGGCATGGTATCTCAGTGAGCTAGCACTATAAATCGGCATCAGTCCGGACTAGAACAAGCAGCCACATAAACACACACACGTACATGCATGTCGCTATATAAGTGCAATAATTTTGGACGCGACGTTAAACCCAATTTCACCTCACCTCTTATCGTGACTCATACTTAGTGCTTATCTCTCTCTCTTTCGAAAAGGTAGTGGAAACTTCCTGTGCTGTTCCCAAAGAACAGAGAAAACAACTCACCCCAACACACCCTTACTCCCCGCATGCTCACCGGAACCACATGACCAAGCCCAGTAGCTTATCACTCTCCTATTTTCGCGCCATCTGCGTAGATGGGAAAAATTTCTGTGCTTCATAATCCAAGCCATCCGTTCATATGGAAGTAAATAGTACATTAGTATAATGACTATCCAACATTTGATGTGTAATAAACCTTATGCACGGTCCATGACGCCTTTACACTACACAAGAATTATCTCACAAGAAAAACTTATGTACAAAGACGTGGATTTCGGATAGACGACTGATAGTTTCGCCACTGATACATACTGTATCAAAGGGGGACGATATAGCACACTAACCATCCCACAGATAAAACAATCTACTATGAGACTGCTGGCATGATGAGGATGACACACTCAGACCTGACTCAAGAGTAGAAATTTTTGCATGACGATAAAATGAAACTGAACGACATTGAAAGAATTTACTTTCAATCCTAATCGGTCAAAAGAGGTAAACCAGGTCTACCACTATAGGCTCTTGTCAGGATGGTCTACCAGTATTCGCCCTTGCCGGGAATCATTCAACCAACATGAAACTGACCCCTACTAGAGGGAAAGAATTGGCGGCAAAATTCACTGAACTTTTGTTTGATTGATTGTTGTTTAATGCCGCACTCAGCAATATTCCAGCTATCACCGAAATGTCAAATGTGACATTTATGAAGTGATGGTCACCAATCTCAAG